TGTGCCTTGGGTCTCACCCTGGCGGCTGAGACAAGCCACCCCAACACTTGGCAGGACACCAGTGTCAGCCTTGGCGGGATAAATCTCCCCAGACTTATCCAACGGCTGTGAACATTTAAAATTAACACAAGTCTCATTAAGTGTGCAGTTTTAGGGTCTTACACAGAAGCATACCACACAACATGAATCAAATATGTACTTTATTTATTTACACTAAATATCAAAAGTACATCAAAACTGATTGGAGCTAAGGGCATACAAAACTGTCTAACACTAATGTGATTGGATTCATAACTATTATATATCAAAGAAATTATTGTGGTTGTAGGAGATGGACAAGATTGAGGCCTACAAAGAAACCAAATGGGATCCACAAGAGATTGTCGAAATCTACAACAAACGTTTCCTGGTAATAAATCCACATTCTCGACACTGTTGCTCATGGTACAAGATTTAAAAAAAGGGTTTATCTAACCATCATTATCTATTTCTTTGCAGGCATAGCTTTGAAAACGGTAATGGCTTTTTTCAAAGCATGACATTTTCTCTATAAATGTTTGAAGTTTCTTTGCTACCTGCTTATTTGGTGATATTAAGGGCGATTTCTGGTCTGCCATGTGCATGCACTATCCGTCTATGAAGGCCAAGGAGATATTAAAAATAAAATGAACTACACATCATAGTTGTCCTACATCAGTTCTCCTTGGTTTTGTTAACTAATATATTATTGAACTTCAACTTGTATTCTGAATCTTTCTCAGTGCGGCATAAATAAGATTACTTGATTTTCAACTCTTTCCTCTCTTGCTCATATACAAGGATTTGAATGTCCAGTATCATATGAATTGACAAATTGATGCACCATGATGCATCAAAGGTCCATGAATATTTTGAACACCATGATCTGGTCATGCTGATTGTTGGTATAAGTAGTCTCTTGGATGCCTGGTTTAGTGTTGGTGCCTATATGATCGCATCTAATCACCTAATTGTCACATTAGCATCTGCATCATCTTTCTTGTAGTATACTAGTATATGATTATCACACTATCAGCAGCCTGTTATAGCATTTGCCAAAAAAAAAAACAAGTTACCAATTATGGTGAATTTAGTGTTTGCTCCCTTAATTAATGTGGTTGGATTCTTGTTAAATTCAAAATGGCTTGCCTCTTGGGAATTCCAAATCCAAAAAAGAAAAAACTGCAAAATTTAAGGTTTTAAATCCACTTTTGTTGAACAGGACTTTAACACAAAAAAGAGCCCAAATGGCAGAATCAGAAACTCTGGTTGACCCCCTAAACTCCATACCCAATTGCAATACTGCCCTAATCCTAACAAAGCGATTAAATAGTTTTGGGTGATATGGAGGTAGCTATATCTGTATGGTGCGTTCAGTCTTTGAGAATAAAATCATGCTTGCCCAACCAAAGAAGGAATTAGAAGGTGTTAAATTAAATTAAGAGAAATGCTAATTCTTCTCAAGAGTAGGATAAGAGATATATAAATCTACTTAACTCTATGCTCTACATGTATCCATAAAAAGTTTAGTAATTACTACTAAAATCTATGATGCTGGAATGACATGGTACCAAAATAACTTTGACCAATCAAAGTTCACCCGTGAATTTTGATGAATACCATCTGATTGATTAACACATTTATGATACCAATTGATAGGTCACAAATCTTTTAGACATGATGCTTTCCAGTATCATAGTTGATCCCTTAATTTATATACATTCTTGCATTATGCATTTAAAGTCAAGGCTTCAAGACTGCAAGTATATCTCTACTCCATTCAAATTAATTGCACAAGGTTTTATAGGTATAAATTCAACTATAAAGCCAAGGACTCAACATGTGTGGAACTCTGCGGAGTTGATGCATGATTAACTCAGTAATAGGGGTAGAATTGCAGATGATTAGTTAATACGACTAACAGACCACTTGAAAAGCAATGCTATTAAATTTGGACCATCGGCCAAAATTGTTTTAGGTTGCCTGAATCTTAAAAATGTGAACTTAATAAAACCTGTAACCTTTCTTGAAGTGGGCTAATTTTGATATAAAGTAACTTTAAAAGGTAATCTAAAACCATTTGCTATGTTTTTGGAGAAGTGGAATGGTTGAATCGGGCATGCAGTCCAACTATTCAATCCATGACCCAGTCATCAAAACGGATTTGCGTCCTGTCCGAATGTTGCACTCTACATATTTGTATTTGTACTCTTTTCAAACTGAGCCTGGTTTCAGTTTTAGAAACAGTGCAAATACAAGTTTTAAAAATACTTTGTACAAAGTTTTGCACTGTGCATATTTATATTTTGCACTCCTCCCAAAGTGAGCCTCCAGGTCCAAACGCCCTACAGTTAATTTGTATGGGTTTTTGTTCATTAGGCTCAGTTTGAAAGGAGTACACATACAAATATGTAGAGTGCAAAACCTTATTTTTTGTATTATTTTATATGTATTTGCACTGTACATATTTATACTCTTTCCTCCAAACTGAGCCTTAAAATGGATTGTTAAATTATTGAGATCAACTCTTTGGACGGGTATATGCTTCAACATATAACCAAGTGATCTCTTTATATGGAGCGACAACTTCGGTAGCCCAGAATGTTTGACCTTACTCCTTGTCCTTGGGTGTAAGCATGGGAGAGAGACCCGCCTTCAAGATAGATCATCCTAAAACAAACTCTTAACTAAGCAACATCTCTCTCTCTCAATCAATCAAGCTGAACAACCCTTCACATCTTCCTCTGTATTTCCCCTGTTTTCTTCCGTTACTGTTCATTGAATCGGAAAGATGGGTGTAAACCCAAGCAGTAGCAAGAGCAACCACGACAAGAAACCTGAAGACTATGACAAGAAACCGGAAGCCTGGGAACAGAAGAGTGCAACCCAGCAACGAGCATTGCCATTAGGCATTGGCGGTTATCGAAGCCACATTACCTGGATATTCCTTATCAGCATCATGCTCTACGTACTCTACTCCACCAATCTCCTCCTCACCAGTACTGAACCTGCTATAGATTGTTCTGCTTCTGCTTTTAGTCTTTCCACAGAACGTCTTTCAACGCCTAACAACTCCTCCTCTCTGTCTCTACCCATCAAAGAAAAACAACAACAACAAGAGGAAGAGGAAAAGGAGGCCCCACAGATCCAATTGACTCCGCTATCCCACCGCTTTGACACTGAGCTCAAACACATTGTCTTTGGTATAGCAGCATCATCAAATTTATGGGAGAAGAGGAAGGAGTACATAAAACAGTGGTGGAGGCCAAAGGTGACAAGAGGAGTGGTGTGGCTGGACACGCCAGTGAAGACTAGAAGGAACGAAGGACTACCAGAGATACGGATATCTGGTAGCACATCAAGAATGCCATATACCAACCGGCAAGGTAAAAGGGCAGCACTGAGGATATCGAGGGTGGTATCAGAGACAGCAAGGCTGGGGATGAAGGATGTGAGGTGGTTCGTCATGGGCGACGATGATACAGTGTTTGTGGTGGATAATGTAGTGCGTGTACTTGCTAAGTATGATCACAGACAGTTCTATTATGTGGGGAGCTCCTCTGAAAGCCATGTCCAGAACATATTTTTCTCCTATGCTATGGCCTATGGAGGAGGTGGGTTCGCCATAAGCTACCCCTTGGCCAAGGAACTGGAGAAGATGCAGGATCGGTGCATCCAACGGTATCCTGGATTATATGGCAGTGATGACAGAATTCAAGCTTGCATGGCTGAGCTGGGGGTGCCACTCACAAGAGAAGCAGGGTTCCATCAGGTAAACAAAGAGATCTCATCTCTGAGTTAGAAATCAATATGAGTTACAGGTAATCTTCTCAGTAATCTAATTTTGGAGGCATGGCTTTTGATGAACAATCTAACGAATTAATAACGACCCAAAGTGCTTGGGTGATTTTTGTTGATAGCCATGACCATCAGACAATGCTCATTTCGATCCAATTTGTTCAACTGTGCAGTATGATGTGTATGGAAACCTTCTGGGCCTATTGGGTGCACACCCTGTCACTCCGCTGGTGTCAGTGCACCACCTGGACGTCGTAGACCCCATATTCCCTCGCATGAGCAGAGCCGAAGCTCTCCAACGCCTCTTTCAACCTGTCAAATTTGATTCAGCCAGTATGATGCAGCAATCCATCTGCTATGACAAGAGGCGAGATTGGTCAATCTCTGTATCATGGGGCTTTGTCGTCCAAATTTTCAGGGGTGTCATCTCACCAAGAGAGTTAGAAACGCCGACCAGGACATTCCTCAACTGGTACAGAAAGGCCGATTACACTGCCTACGCCTTCAACACTAGGCCCGTCACCAAGCATCCATGTCAAAAGCCCTTCGTTTTCTACATGGACAATGTTCGTTATGATCGGGCTAAGAAGCAAACAGTGACTACCCACTCCCGCCATAGAGAATCGCATCCTTATTGCAGATGGAAAATGGAATCCCCAGATTCAATTGACTCCATTGTTGTCTTCAAGAAACCGGACAATCTCCGCTGGCACAAGGTAATTAAGCTGCATTTATATTTTCCTGTCTGACCTGCGTAGAAAGGTGAATGGTGGTTCTGTTAATTAACCAGCTGAGTTCCAATTATAATATTTCTATTGTCACCTCAAATATGAATCCAATGCTATCTAATTATATATGAACTCATGTTGGTGCCACACAATTAATCACAAATGTTGCAGAAACACCTGTGGATGGTCAACACAGCACTCCTCTGTTTTGTTTGTTAACTAACCAGATTTCAATTTCCTGTGCAGTCTCCAAGGAGAGATTGTTGTAGAGTTTTTCCAACAAAGAAGAAATCAACAATGTACATAACTGTGGGCAACTGCCGAGATGGTGAAATAAGCGAATTGTAGCTTGGAGGCTGAGTCGACTTTTCATTCAATTTCTTCTCTCCCTCAATTTTCATTTTTCTGATTAGTGCGTAGGTGGGTGAGTTTGTGAGGGTCAGGTTAGCTTTAATTTTTTTTGCATCAATTTGGAACTGATAGTCCGTGTAATGTGTTATTGCAATGGTATTTCTTGTTGTACATTAATTAATTTAAGCAGGGAATTAGCATTTTATTCAACAAGAAATCTTTATTATATTTCTGAGATGAAGGAAGAAAAATGAGAGCAGAAAATGAAATACAGTTGTTTTATCCTTGAGAATAACTAGAACTTTTCCTGATCTATTCGAAACATTATTCTCATTTGATGCCATTTAATTCAAAGAGATTCATGCCAATATATAAATGCTAGCACAAAACCAGTTCACTACTATTCACCTTGAACTGGCTAATAGGGCTTCCGATTATGTCTCATAAGAAAACCAGTCACCTGCACTCCACAGACCAAACAAAGATGCCATTAATTTTTCCCCGACTCATAGAGGTTATTGCAAGCGCTGAATAATCCATTCTTGAGAGGCAACCCACCACTCCTGCCATCATTACTGAAGCTTACCAACACCTTTCCTCCCCTGTGATTAAAGCTGTGAGTCTCAAAGGATCTCATGAACGGAGAAAGCTCATCCCCTTACCATACACAGAATTGGAAGTTAAACATAGTCTATGATCATACTTGATACTTCAGAGAGCCACTGGCATTTCATCATATGGGGCTATCGTTGCAAATGAGAGGACCCCATTTCCTTTCAGGACCATTAAAAGCTGTCTGATGCACTCGACGAATATATCAGTGTTTTTGTTGAAGTTCTTATAATCTATATTGATGCCACCCAAATTATACTCCTTCATTATCTGTGTCATTGAGGAAACTGCATTTCGAACCCAAGAACTAATGAAAATTAGGCCTTGATGAAGGAGACGTTGGAGGGACTGTGGTTGGTGGAGGGAGGAGACAAAGAGGTGTAGTCAATGGAAAAGTAGAGAATGAAGTCAAGTAACCACTGGGGTTGATAGGTACATTGGAGATTCTCACATTGTTGAATGCAGCTCCTATAAACTCTCTGAACGGCTTCATATTTGTCAGGGCTGCTTAACAAAAAAAAAGTTTCAAGGAGAAGAGAGATAATCAGCTTAGATGAATGCATTGTTGGAAAGTTTTTGTGCTATAGCGTTGTGTGTTAAGAGCTAAGACTTGAAGAGGGAGAAAAATGAGTAACTGTATTTATAAGCAAAGTAATTCCTACTGCAAATACATGAGTCATCCTTTCTGTTCAGCCATTTGTTGTTGGTGTTGTTTGGGTTCTTCTTCTATTCAGGGGACAATCTGACTCATATCATATATTAATACTGTGGTTGATCATTGAAGCAGTACCTGATTTTCTTTTCCCCATATTCTCAGCAGGAGCACTGAACAAAGATACTAATGAGGGAGGGAGACCATCACCAAAGGAGGGAAGGAAATATATTTGAGACTTCAAGGGAAATATACAGCGAAAGAAAGCTTAAGAAGGGCAAAGATTTGGGGAAGAGGAATATGCTAGACAAGTACAATGTGAAAACTAAGATCAAGGTTGAGAGGGCACCTCTTAGACAGATCAAGATTAAGTCCTTGAAAGCTCTTGCTTTCAATTATCCATTTGATAAACCAAGATTCCCATATGTTTCTAGACCATGCCATTTCCTAAACTACCATCCTTTTATAAGAGGATTATCATGTCATCTAGTATATTAACATATTCTCTACAATCTTGTATGTGATTTATTACTTTAGAAGATGAAAGGTCATTACCCATTGTTGGTCCTGCTCTCAGAATTGATGTTACATCCCTGCATCACACTGTTTGGCCAATAAATCTTCCACGAGTTGTACCACAAAGAAAGTAGCTAGCTACATAAACAACTGTGACTTTCTGCCTTATATAGGTACCTAATGTTGAACAAGATAGGCTTACAAGTTACAAGATGGTGTTAACTCATACAATGGTGGAGTTTACACCAGTTACAGTTTACAATCTAAACTGGAGATTACCAGCCACAGGCATGGAAAAGAAATAGAATTAGCATGGGTTGCCTTTGTCTTCTAATGTTTTATTGCCATTAAAAATCTCACAAGAACTACTCAAAAAATTGGAACAGGCCTACTTTTTATACACTTTGATCTTCTCAACTTACAAGCAATTGAGATAATCAACGGTCCTAAGGGTTCTATTTGCTTAAAAGTTAACCAAAATAATATTAAATTTGGACAGATTTGACCAGCCCAGACTTAGGTGGTGTTTGATAAATCTGAAATCTGAAAAGTTAAAAAAGATATTTTAGATGTTCTGAATAGATAAGGTTGTTTGTGTTGGATCAACCATCCAGCATCTAAACTTTGATGATTTTATTATTTTACCCCCAAAACAGACTATCTGATAATTTTGAGTTCAATTTGTACTATTTCATATTAAATAATTTATGAAATTCAAAATAACACAAATAAAAAAAATAATAAATTAATAAATAATAAATAACACATTTAAAATTATTAAAAATAATTGATGACTAATAAAAAATATTAAGGTAATTAATACTTAATAAAAATTAAAATAATTAATAATTAAAAAATAACACAATTAAAATAAAAAAAATAATTAATGACTATAAAAATAATTAATAGTTAGTAATTTACACAAATAAAACTTAAAATAATTACTAATTAAAAATTAATAATTATAAAATAACACAATTAAAGTTAATAAAGATAAAGAATGAATAATATAAAATAATTAATCGGTTTTGGCCTTTTGGGCACTGTTCATCATCCTTCTTGTTGCGAAGGACGAACAGGGGTTGCGGTATTCCTATTCCCCCTCCTCTCTCTGCTTATTCCCCCCCCCCCTCTCTCTCTCTCTCTCTCTACACACACACACTACACATAGCGTTCCTTACCTCTCACGCCAGTCAGCACTCAACTTTCCACGCAGATAAAACAGTACAACTGTCGTCGAACGAGTCCACAACCCACCATCACCAAACTCAAAATAAACGTCGATCGATGGACATGAGCAACTACAACAACCATCCTAACAACTCCATCATGACAAGAAAAACCAAACTCTTCTTTTGGTTTTCAGCCATCTCTGTTGCACTTCTTTCCATTCTGCTTGCCACCACCACCACCATCCCTTCTTCCTCTTCTCCTAGCAGCCTTATTAGCAGTGCATATTATAGCTTTGAGCTTGGTGCCATTTTCAAAAGGGGCCTCAACCAAAGTGGCGTTGATGTGTTTTCTTCACTCCTTAGGCGCATTATCCGTAGGAGAGGCCATCACCACCACCGCCGTGGGAGGGGGCGTGGGGATGCCTGCCACGAGGCCAAGTGGGTGTCTAGGCTCGTCTCAGACTACAATATCTCTCTTTATCTTCACGGTGGATTTGAATGGATGCGCAAACTTCAGTAGTGTGCAGTGTGCAGAAGGCAGTAGATCATCGTTCTCGTTGCAAAGGTCGAACAGAGGTGGCGGTATTCCCCCGTCCTCTCTCCGGTTATTCTCCCTCTAAACTCTCTTTATTTCCCCTCTCTCCGATTCTTCTTCTTCTTCCTCTTATCACCGAACAGATGGTTGCGGGGAACTGCGGTGGTAACTCCAGTTTTGCTTCAATCGTCCGATCCCAGCTCTTCTCGGAATCGCACCCGCAAGGGAGGACGTTCGAAGTTGAGACCTATTTTTGTCTTTTAACGCGGTCTGAAATGCATCTGATCGCGTTAAGAGGCTGAAAATAAGAATGTCAATGAATCAGATTTGAATTGAAATTAATCTAAATTAAAATCAATTTGAACCGATTGAATGATCCATACATTAAATTGAGCTGATCCAAAGTATTCATCGAATTGGATTGGACCAGATCGGCTTGGATCCTGTCCAGTCCAATTAACACCCCTAATTCATTGTGCTAAAGCAAGTATTTTGATTCTAAGCAAACACATTAAATGGTCATAATATCCAATATACAAGCTCTTCTATCATACTAAAAAAACATTGTTAAATGGACCAAAATCAAACTCTAAGGTTATGTTTGATTTGAAGGAAAAGGTAAGAAAAGGAATGGAAAGACAGGAAAACTTATACAAAGTTTGTAAAAATCTCCTTACCTTTCCCTCATTTCCTGCATTTTCCTTCAAACCAAACATAGCCTAAGGGTCTTAGTTGCAATCATCTGAACCGATCAGCCATCTTTTATCTGCGTTTTCTTTCTTTATGTAGATGTTTCTTATTCCGAATTTCCAATTATTTTGCAAATATTCGATCAAATGCAGCTAGGGAAAAGGTAAAGGGGCAGAAATCAACGCTAGAAAAACAGATGCATGATGATAATCAGATCCATGTGGATTTTCCGAAAAGTACAATAAATTGGAAACAAAAAAGATCGAATATGGCTTTGCCGATCGAGTGATACTTAAAGAGGGAAGATAACAGCAAGATACTTTGCCTGATCAAAAACTCAAAAAGAGAATTAGAACGGAAATGAAGAAGAGTGTGAATACAACAAATCTAACTCAAGTTGCAGTTCCCATCATTCAGACACCTGGTCTTTTCAAATTTAGACACATGGTATTTTCTGAGAAATTGTTATTAAAACCTACAACCCACTATCACCATTCAGACAAGTGGTATTCTCATTTTGTAGAAAACTAGACATATGGCAATTTTCGAGAAATTTCTACTAAAGCCCAGAACCCATTATCGGCTATAGCTCCTCATCATTCAAACACATGAACTTTTCATTTTTCTAAAAAGCTAGACACGTGGCATTTTCTGAGAAGTTATTGCTAAAGCTCATAACCCACTAGTCACTACCACCATTTTCAATCCATTCCTAAAAAAATGCAAAAATTACAAAAATGGTTATCCACAACCACTTTCAATCCATATTTTAATAATTATTGAAGAACTAATTTTTGAAATAAATATTTCTTAAAATTTTAATAATTATTTAAAATATTAATAAATATAAATTTAACATTATTAATTCCATAATATAAATTTAACATTATTGATTCCCCGTAGGGGGTCATTCACTCTTTCACTCTTGAACCTAAAAGAAAAGAATATTATCCCCCGTACGGGGTCATTCACTCTTTAACAATACGGTAGCCGTAGGATGGCCCACTATTAATTAATATACGGTAGCTGTATTATAATATTCTTTTTCTTATTAATTTCATTAATAAATGATAGTTACTAAAATTAATTTTCTATTTTATTTTGCCCATTAATATTACTTTCCGTTATAATTTTATGACTCAATGCCAAACGAAATAAAAATGATCCGGCTTTTGAAACAAAAAATGATATGGGCACACCACATACGGAAAATTTAATTTGATATGAATACATCCCATCTAGGCAATCATATACGAGTATACCATGATTGATTTAATTTGATAAGAACACACTCACGTTGATTTAATTTATCATGCGCTGATTTAAATTGATATGACCACACCACATTTTGCATTCTATGGATATTTGATGGAAACATAAGGAAGACTTTATTATTTGGTGTTTTATCTTTTTTTTAAATATTTAATATTCAATTATGATATCATGTGTTTCTTTGAAAAGTTGAATCATTGACCTACCATCTAGATAAGAAATTATATTTGCTTTTGGATTAGTTTTAAATTAGTAAAAAATATATTAGTCAAAGTGTTGTACATTTAAAATTAAGTTATAGGTTGGTCAAAAAACCAATAAAACTCTAACAGCTTGCTCTACATTTCAAATTATAAAAACCTCCACCATGTCATCAAAGACTTATGTGGTTGTTGCCAACATGAGGCTTTTAATCCATGTTGGACACAACAAAAAACTTATATTAAAACTGCCCTTTAATGTTGGGTGATTGAAAGATAAAAAAGGGTTTTTATTTTATCTCACTCTCTCTCTCTCTCTCATTTTCACATTCGTCTCTCTTTGTTCAATGAATGTGTGATTTGAAAATAAATAAAAAATGGTTTTTGGTTTTTGTATTTATGTTCTTTTTATCAATTTCTCTTATTCCTTCTTTATCTATCATTCTCCTACAATCTCTCTCATTTTCTTTATTTCCCACTCCCTCTCTCGTTTTTTTTCTTATACACTTATATGGTATTAATCATATCATATAAAAGAACATGAGACCAATTTGGTATGATTCAAAAATCATTACACCAATTTGATAAAAATTCACAAGAAACTCTTGGCTATAAAATTTACACCAACTTGATAGAAATTTATAACTTGATTGTACAAGTTGTTGGTCTCTTTAGTTCTTTTATACGGTCTGATTAATATTGTATAAGTTTGTAAGAAAAATAAAAACAGAACGAAAGAGGAAGCAAGTGAAAGACTAAGGGAGAATGATAGATTGAGAGAGAGAGAGAGAGAGAGAGAGATGTTTTGATTTGGCTACATACCGAAGTTGAGAGAATGGGAGAGATAGAGGGAGCGGGAGATCGAGAGATGACTACGAGAGTGAGAAGAGATAAGGGAGGGAGATCAAGAGATAGATGGAGTGGGAGAAAAACTGAAAATCAATTTTCACTATAGGCTTTTTGTTGTGTCCAACATGGATTAAGAGTCCCATGTTGGCAATAACTACATAAGCCTTTGATGACTTGGCGGGGGTTTTTATAATTTGAAATGTAGAGTTGGTTGTCAAAGTTTCGTTGGTTTCTGGACCAACCTACAACCTAATTTTAAATGTACAATTGACTTTGACTATAATTTTCCCTTTAAATTATTATATTTCATTTACATTATATAAACTAATTTTTACTTATCACACTTAATTTTTATTTGTCTATGATATCATTTGTCTATAAGCTTTTTGTTTGTCTATGAAAACATTATTTTTTCTAGGTGGATTTTAAAAGTATAAGCTTTTATGTTATTGAAATTATTAATTTATTAAGTATAGATTTAATTAATAGAAGTTAATGATGAGAAGAAACAAAAATGGATTAAATATATGGCTCAATGAACATGAATGCAAGTTAATAACTTAAATGTTGGATTTAATTAGAGAGAACTGAATGCATTGAATATCCTAAAATGACCTCTTTTCAACTCATTTAAAATTAATAAATTTTGTCAATTATCCTATCTGCCCTCATTTTTATCAATAAATTTAAATATAAAGGGATAAGTTTTGTCCTCAAAAATTCTAGAAATATCCTTGAGGTCATTGGTACTTTTTAAAGTGGTATAGATTCATGTCCTATTTAATTTAATTTCTGGGTTAACTTACAAGTACTTGCTTGTAATTTTTTTATTCCTCAATATCACATTTCTTACACAACTTTGGCATATGGGCTTGGTCGACCTTGGGGGGCTCATGGACCAATTACTCGAAAAGAACAGTGAGTGATCACTAATCGATTAAATGATCATATGGGTTTTTGAAAAATACCAAACCCAAATTAAATCGAAGCCATTTGGTTAATCAGTTGTTCTATTTGATTTTTTATTTTTATAATATATATTATATAATTATAAATATAAATAATATAGATTATATTTAATGTATTATATATTTATATAAATATAATGGTCGTTCAATTAATAGTGGTTTTTTAGATTAATCAAAACAGAACCATTACCTTTGGTTTTTGAAAAAAAAAACGAACTGATTGGTTCAGTTTAACTTAACTTTTTTATTTGAATTGCTCAGTTTAGCTCGGTTTTTCGATTTTTCATGAACACCCCTAATTGACCCATTCCACCCAATTACTACAATGGGTCGATTTTGGGTCAAAATTACTTAGTTCTTTATTTAGATATCCCACTTAGTCCACTCCCAGGCTACCATATTTATGATTCCAGTTGATCGAGCAAACGTTTTTCGGATAAAATAACTTATCAGTATGGAAAAGTTATTATATCCCAAAAACATTTGACCAAATCAACTAGAATCATAAATGTGGTATCCATTCAGACATTGTTTATCAAAATTCATGAGTGAATTTTCATTGGTCTTTGATATCATGTCTTTCACGCATGATAAATTTTTCGTACACGTGGTAGAGAGGCAAGCCACAACGATGTGGCTGATTCCAATATCCTCCCCATCAAATCTTAGATACCTTGCATCGATTCAGTCAAGGCTGAAACACTAGTCTCTCCACCTGTCAAGAAAGGGGAGATGTAGACCGGAGAGGAAGAGAAAAGTCTGAAAACGCTTTAAGCCCCCATTACACATTAGTCCCAGCCAATAAAAGCTGATTTGATTTCTACTAGTCTATAACCAAGCAAGTACTGATGTGTTGCGCTTGACAGCTTTAACCAATACATCAGACTATCAGAGACACGATGGAAATCAAAACCAAACAAAGTTGCCACTGTTTCCCATTTCGGATTCCATTTTGGAAACTGAAAAAAAAATATATCAAACGTTAAACGAAACAGTTTTCATTGTTGTATTGCTCCAGTAGTACTAGTAGTAGTAGTAGAAGTAGATACTAACAGAAGCACTAGTTTGAGTTTAGACATGAAGAGTTTGACACAGATGCCAGAAATCGAGATGATACAGATGGATAGATAGATGATTAGCTAGATAGATAAGACAAAGAGGAAAGAGAAATAGAGATCATCAGCTCCTATGAATGAAGTTGCAGTTTTAGTCGGTAGACGTTGAGCATGAAAGATGGTTAGATGTTGTGCACTCGTCCTTGAGACTGGTGGTTGTAATAGGGAAAAGCTGTAAGGTTTTGAGAGGTCGGTTGCAGCAATGAGTGGTCGGCCCAATGTCCATCATCATCATCATCATCCAATCACGGCCGTACATCCACTTGGACCTCTCCTTCTCGTCCCTCTCTGGAATATCCATCTTCCTGCTGGAGTAACTCATAACGTCGTTCGATGCCTCTTTTGCTCCTCCTGCCTAATCCATCAACGTAAGAAAGATAGATTGGAGAATAACAATCAGATGAGTTATATCCATATTCTCTCAGTTTTCTTCCTCCATTAAGAAACAAGAAATGGGAAAAAAAAGATTATTAAAATCTATGAATCTTATCCTACAGATCGAAGAGGAAGAAGAAGAAGAAAAGAGGTAAATACATATTGTTAAGGGGAAAGATCACTACTGAGCTCAGTAAATATGGCATACCTGAGGAAGCAGCTGAGCTGAGTTATAAAGTGGAGGTTGATGAAGAGCAGAAGAGTCGGACTGCTCGATCTGATGAAGGAAGCGGTGGTGGTGGGCTGAAAGCTGCTGCTGCTGCTGTCTACAAAGTTTCCTTCGGAGTTTCTGTCGCTCTCTGGCCTTGTGGTTTTGGAACCAGTAGAAGACATTCTTTCCTTCAATCTTTCCGTAAAACGAAAGATGGGCTGTTATCTGTTGTATCTGAGTTGCATTTGGGGTCCTTATCCCTCCTCTATACATTTCTTCCAATATCATAATCTGTTCAGGCGTCGGACACCATCTGGTTGAAGCTGCCGGTGACATTTTTTTCCAACACTTTCTTTTGGAGTCTGTTGAGATATGAATACATAGATGGATATATAGACTGATATAAACGATAGAGAGAGAGAGAGAGGACAAAGGAGAGGAAAAGGAGAGACAAAAGGGATGGAGAGGAAGACTAGCAAAAGGGTAATTGTAGGCAGAAGTACTACCGCGCTTGTCATGCTGATGTTCCCCCCAGTGTGGCATTCAATGTGGGTTTCAGTCCATGCCTCTCTCTCTCTCTCTTTCTCTCTCTCTCTCTCTAAAATCTGGAATGAGGGAGCAAGAATCAACTTGGGTTTGATTGAATGATTCCGTCATCATCACCTTATTATTTATTTATGAACAGAAAATGTAAAACATAGAACGCGTTCTAAGCAGATACCTTCTCAATCTTATTCATTGCTCCACTGAACTGGGTCACATTAAAATCTCTCTCTCTCTCTAGAATCTAGACCTCTCAGTCTCTCTCTCGGGTGGACTACTGGTGCTGCTGGGGTCAGAAATGGATCATTGTACACTCATAAGTTGAGCCAATTGCTCACTGTGCATAACGTAACATATGGACAACCGACTAACACTATAAATGTATACAAACATACACCATGATATACTATTCTTCACTTTTACTCTTAGAGACTGAGAAGCTTTGAATAAGAAGACTGTTGTGTCATTCTGCCACTATTTGAGATTTAAGAATGAATCCTTCTGCAAATATTTCTCCTACATGTAAGATGTATATGTCTCTGCTATATATGCAGGGCTTAGCTGCACCTCTCGTACAGTTGGGTCCAGAGTGTCCAACAATCTCAACCGTTAAACTACATTGGGAATAAGGTCTATACTGGTGACAGACGAAACAAGTAAATAAGTTTTCTAGCTACGTACCAAGTGAAGAAACTGGCAGAAAGAGTAGTGGAAGGTTTTAATATATATTATATATAATTTACTTCTGGCTCTGCCCAGATTTTGGGGTGAATATCAAGAAAACTTTCGTGGATGGTGGGTGGGTGCGAGAGAGGTCACTCCTGGAGACTGGAGTGGAGTTGAGAGACTAAATCTTTCTATCAATTCAATCGATACAAAACTGGAATCAAACAGGTGATAATATTTGCAGCTGTGTAGTCACATTTCAACACCAAAAGAAGAAATAAAACCAAATTTCGTAAGAACAAGGACGTGGGGTCGTCAAATCGATGTGAAATTATTTCAAATAAGTAGTTTTTCAGATTAAAACATGAAACCATTTGTTGCATACTTTTCAGCTTGTCTTACTACAAAAACTACAAAAGAAGAAAATAATTAAATTCCGAAATGACTGAAATTCAGTCTCCTCGCTCGACGGATGAGAATATGACAGGAAGAGGTGATACCCTCAATTGTAAAATAGAAAAAAAATCATCTCCATCTCTAGATATGTACGGAAAGATCCCGGTGAGTCGGTGACGGGACTCATCCAGCTAGAATCCCATCCATTTGCACGCCATCTCTTTCATGGGGCTCTTGTATTGCTAGAAGGTTGTTATTGTTGTTGTTTTATGTAACAGAAGATGAAATTTCATTAAACTGGGTATCAGCAGAATTACAAAAAGACTGAGTAACCTCTACCCAGTTAGCCATCCATATAGGCATGGAATCAGTATATATACTCCTGAAATTAATGAAATAAAATAGAATCCATTCAATTGCAACTGTGTTTGGTTGCAATACAAATAAATTTGCACTGATGCAAAATCGTGACAGTGCAAATAATTTGGGTGTAAATTTTGACCTATTTTTGTTTCAAATTTTAATTTATTTTGTTTGATTGCAGTACAAATGAAATAAGTAAAGACATGGAGTAGAATAAAGTAAAATCTTAAACAAAATTAAACAAGAATTTGCATTCTTTTACATTTGCACTCTCATACATTTGTACTAGTGCAATTAAATTTGCAGTGCAACCAAACACAGCCTAGTATTTTTCTTTTGGGGTCTTGTGGTCCAAAGAATATTTCCAATGCCACGTAGTCGTTTTGATTTTATCTAATCAAAATCTTATATATTTTATCGGAATAATTCAATTCGAATCATTTATATCTCCTTGCTCCTTGAGTTATGTAAAAGTGACATTTGATAGAAACAACTTGGTGTTTATTGTTTTGAAGAGGTGTTTTCAATGTGATGCTTAATGGTGTCTATATGTATTATTAAGTAAGTATAACAATAAATAAATGTGAAATGTCCACCAAATTATTGCAAAACTTAATTATTTTTCCCATTTCCAATACTAGAATCAAGTGCAAATATTGTAGCTCTAATGGACCATGGTTCCAAACACAACCTACTTAGTAATCTTATCCATGCTAATTAATGTTGTAAGATTCACTTAGATCTTAGGGTCAGACCATAAAAATCAAAAACCTTGCTTATTTTGAAACAATGGAAAAGTTTTTCATTATCTTTACTTATGGTCCAAAAGGACAAGGTGGTAGTCATTGGCGTTATTGGTATCAAGACTATTAGTGCAATGGAGAAGGTTAAGGGTGAGTAGAAAAATCGAAAAATCATACAGATCAAAACAGAACAAAAAATATGGTTAACTAAATCGGTCGATTTAATTTTGATTAACCAAAATAAAAAACCGACGGTTAATAGAACCAACTGATATACCTATATTTATATATGTTATATATATATATATATATATATATATATATTCTATACATTATAAATTAATAAATATATATTATATATATAAATCACATCCTACCCGTAAATTTAACATCAATCCACGGGCAGAATTCAATCTACGCCTAAAAATCTCCACCCTAAGGGTGGATTGAACTGTAAAAAACCCTAAATTATAAATGATTATATTATTTAATTTCAACCTACATCAAGCCATGTCCTTCTAGGCCTACCCATTACCCTTGACTGCCTCTTTTTAAGTAGAAGGTGATTTTCTATGTATGAACTTGAGAATAACTGACACCCTGAACTCAAATGTTTAATTTAATGTAATGAACATGGTTATTGGAGCTAGCTTTCCTACTCATTCTCTCATTTTAAAACATATTTACAATTGTTAAAGCAGAATATAAAGGAAGTTTTATGCGTGGTGTTGTTAATGCTAACAATGAGATGAGTGGTTGGGCTCTGGTGTTATAATAAAAAGAAAGAGAAAATCACATATAGGCATAATTAGTTGGCGATCGAATATTCACAGCAGTCGAGGTCATATGTTGGTTCTGTTCTGTTAGAGATGTCCTAATACCAGTTGGGTAAAAGGTACATGGAAAGTTCTGTTGTGCGCCAAATGTACACCCCCATTCCATTTCGTCCTCTCCTCCTCCATGTGCCGTTTTCCTAATAATTCCAGCATGGAAACACTACCGTAGTCTATCTGTAGGGTAGGGAAAGGCAATAGCATCCCTAATTCAATTGGCTCTAGGCTTAGGATCTGATCACCTCTCTCCTCTCTCCTTTCTATTCATCTGTCAAAGCCAAGAGGTGGCTGCTGCCCTGCTTGCCTCCACTGGGTCGCCTGCTGTGGCCCCGCCTCCGTACATTATTAACAGACGAGATCTTGGCCTCATTTGCCCAGCTTCCGTCCACTGAATTAGCCGCTGGCCCGTGAGGCTTTACTCTTGAGTCTTAGGCCTAGTTTGTTTATAGGTACTTGGGTAATGTGTTTATCCACCAAGTGATTTTCAGGGCAAATTTTGTAGAATAATCTTGGGTTCCTTCACTTTTCAAAGTAAAAGTGTATTTATCCATCTTCTTTTATGTTTTAGGTAAATAACATAACGATGGTTTTAGTGATAAAAACTTATTATTAAAATGACCAATTTTATCTCATTAAATTGTTAATTTCTTTCCTCTTCGGAGATAGTATCACTTACTCGTATAAATGATTTTTAGGGAGTGTTTTTTTTTGGATTTTGAGAGAGAGAAAGTTGGTTAATAGAATTTTGGTTCTCATTGATTAAGAATCTCTTGTTCATTTTTCAGATTTATGTGGGGATCATGGAAAGGTTATTTTCTAGGTGGGTAAATAAACTTCCCACCTTGCTAACACTTGAATGGGACAAAAATGTCTCTTAATGAATTTTTATGTCTAAAATGGTCGTTACCTTATTTACCTAAGAAATAAAAGAACATAGGCTACCCGCTTAAGTGTTTTTCAAGAAAAACTTACCCAGATAATTGTATTTACCTGGATAAATAACTTACCAAAAGTGAATGAGACCTTAGAAAAAATATTTTTTTTGATAAATTTGAGAAAAAAAACATAGATATCTTGGTCAATGGAAACCAAAATCTTATTAATTAACTTTCCTCTCTCAAAGTCCAAAAAAGAATGTGCCTCTAGTGTTAGTGTTTTACGCAAGGTTTTTGAACTGCTATTGACCTGGGCGGTTGGACCGTTCGGCTCAGGAACTGTCCAAGCAACCGGTTTTGATAAAAAATCATTGAAAAAGTCAACAAACCATTGACCCGGACAGTCGAACCATCGACCTATTCAACTGTTTTTGATCGTTTTTTATTTTAAATTATTATTATTTTTTAAATTTATTTGTCAGAATAGGCCATCCATTCGAACCGGATGACAACCCAAAAATCGATGGCTAAAACAGTTCCGTTTCCAAATCTTTTTTTAAAACGTTGGTTTTACGTTCACCTTAGATTCGTTTTCTATGAACCCATTAGAAAAAATAAGCAATTACCCGATTGAATAACTTGCCCTCAGAAATACAGAACGAATGGGACCTTAAAAGATTTCCCTACTTCTCCCCTGTTTCCCTTCCCTGGGTTTGGGAAACAGGTTGCTATGTTCTGTTACACATTAATTAATTTCGGAATTTCCTTATCCTCAATTTTCATTTTCTGTTTCGTTGCTATTGACTTATCGCTATTGCGTCTTTCCCAATAACATTCTCTTCTTTGGCTCTACTCTAGTGGGAAAATAACAAGGGGTACGTGGTACGAGCCAGAGGCCCAGAGCAGCGCGTTACGTCGCACTCAATGCAGCAACAGAGACACACCACAGTCCCTCGAAATTTTAAACACTCACAACTCAGCCACAGCCACCTAAAAAAAAAATCTCTGGCTCTCTGGGGACTGGGGAGCAGAAGAAGAACAGAGTCCAGCAGGACAGGAGCAACCTTGTCCTTTCTCTATACCGTTGGATGGTTTTCCTTTTTCTTTCCTTCCCAGCTCAAAATTCAACTAAAATCACCCAATGGTGGAT